GCCCATTTTTTATTTTGAGACAGGGTTTTGCAAAGTTGCTTAGGACCTTGCTAAGCTGCTGAGACTGGCTTTGAACTTGAGATCTGCATGCCTCAGCCTCCTAAGCCACTGGGATTACTAGCATGCACCACCATACCTGGCTTACACCTGTCTTTAAATTGCTACAGGAAGGTTTTTCTTTAATTTTATATATTCTATGAAATCACCAAAATACTAGATTTTTTCCTTTTTCGGGGGGTAGGGTAGGGTTTAGGTTTTTGTTTTTTTGCAATGCTAGGGGTAGACCCAGAGCCTTGTACATGCTAGTCAATCATCCTACTACTAAGCTGTATCCTCAGCCCAAGTTTTTCCTGTTTGGTTGTTCCTGCTTTTTTAATTCATGATGATTCTAGAGTTTGTCAGGGAAAAATACTGAACACCCATATACCTACCATCCATATCCTAAAGTATTTTGTTATATTTGCTTTATTAGCCATTTTGTATTCACCATCTCATTATATTCACCACTTACATGTCAGCTTATTATTGATTAGTATTTATGTGTTTTCTCAAACGGTAAATATTTTTAATCTGTAAAGGGGAAGGTTTCAGGATGACTTGACTTTTTCCTGATTGAGGAGAGTGGAGCAGACACAGTAACAGAACCAGATGGAGTCTGGAGTTGTTCAGATTCACTTGGTTTGAACTGGGTCTGGCCCTTAGTAGCTGTGGCACCTTGGGCAACGCTCTTCACCCCCTCTGAGCCAGCTGTAAAAGCTTTTTGGTTTTTTTTATCTGTAAAAAGGGAGTAGGATTGAAGAAGCTACAGTCAGCACAGAGTAGGTTCAACGATCCAGAGGTCACTCCTCACCTACCTCCTGGCTTGCAGGGACCCACAGAAGTGACTAAACCTCTGCGATGGTCTTTCCCCTCAGAGCACTCTGTCATCTGGTCCTGAATCAGGACAAGGAGGCAGTGAAGGACTGCACAGAAGCCCTCAAGCTGGATGGCAAGAACGTGAAAGCACTGTACAGACGGGCTCAAGCCTACAAGTCACTCAAGGTAACAGGGCCTGCCCAAGGTACCAACATAGCTGCAGGGGTTTATGCCATTATTCATTAAGGGTACAGGTGAGGTAAGCGGGTTCCTGCCAAGTTTCTTCTCCTCCAAGGCCCAGGGTCGCTCAGGGCAGTTAGAGGCTGGGTTTTAAGACACTGTTGCCTCAGCAGCTGTCCCCATCCATTTGAATTTCACCTCATCCAGGTCCCTTCCCCACACTTTTCTTCTTCCCCATTAGGACTATAAATCCAGCCTTGCAGACATCAGTAGCCTCCTACAAATTGAGCCCAGGAATGGCCCTGCACAGAAGTTACGGCAGGAAGTTAACCAGAAACTGAAATAAAACCTTAAAGGGCAGCAAGAACCTTTTGTCTGCCCTTCCCAGAGAAGCCAGGGGTGTCCTCCCCTGTAGCCACCCCCGAAACCTAGCATGCCCCACAGGGAGCTTTGAAATACCCTCCTCAGCCCCTCCGACAGCAGTGGCCTCCACCTTTGAGAGGCTTTGCTTGTTCAAGTTAAGCCAGCATAGTCAAGCACAGACATGGTTTCACCACAAAGGTCCTTGCTAGAGCTGAGTGTGAAGCTAGAGCCCTGTTCCCACCCTGCTGCCTCAGTTAGCATATCAGACAAGCAGTCCTCAACAGCAAAGCACTTGGCTTTGTCCCTGCCCCAAGTGTGCTGCAGATTGAATGCTGCCTTTGTAGCTGCATCAGACTTCACCTCTCTGCAGTTAATCTGAACTGAGCTCCTGGGTAGAGGTGGGGGAGAAGCTAAAATCCCTGGCCCACCTACACCCAGAGCGGCCTGTTGAGCTGGTTCTCCAGTGCTGCAGCTGCTGTCCCCACCTGTCTTGGGCACAGAATTCTGTGTCAGCCCCAGTGCCTTTTTTCCAGGCCCTGCTCTGGTGAGAAGGCAGAGCTGTGTTCCCTAGATGGCTCTGCCCTTGACTCTGTGCTGCTGCCTTCTGCATGGAGGTACCTAAGCTATTGCAAGAGCCCGATGGTTATGGCCACACCTCTTGGGATGGGGAGAGGGGCCTCCTTGAGGTCAGTATCCTTCCATTCTGGGCAGCAATTTGCCTCCCCACCCCCCCTCCCCAAAGTGGTGGCCCCTCCAGGCTTCTTAGTTCGTTGTAATATGTTGAAGTTAATTTGAACTGACTGAATTTGTTGAACTGTGTGTTAAGCTATTGCATTAAAAGGCTTTCTTCTGTACAGAAGTCATACTTTCAATTATGCCTTTTCAGCTTTGCGCCCATGATAGCAGTAACAATAGAAGCTGCTGCTTCTTGTGCTTTCATCTATTTGTTGAACAAATTTACTCAAATGTCTGCATGGGCCAGGTGCTGCATGCAGTGCTGGGGAGGCAACAAAGAATAGACTACCTGCTGTAGGGCTGACAGTCCGGTGGGAAGGCAAGAAGTCATCAGATAATCACCCCCAGTAAAGCCACAGCCTACAGAGCAGCATGGAGTAGTCACCAGCACCTTACCTGCCTCCACAGGGAGGTTCCCACAGTCGAGGGAAAAGGGCCCTTGAGGGGGTAAAGCTTGAACGTGTTTTAAAGTGAGAGGTTAACTGGTGAAGGGGGGAGGGCGTTGAAAGCAGTGTGCAGAGACCCAACAGCCTGTGTAAAAGTCCTAGTGGGGAGGACGTGGTGAGGAAGCACAGGGGCTAAAAAATACCACTCAGGTTCACACAACATGGCCTGGAGTAAGGCTGGAGAACTTTAGAATTTGACAGGAATTAAGGGCTGCCTCCCCTTCCTGGGCTGTGGTCCTAGTTAAATTAGTTTTACTTCAATGCAGAAGTTTTATGATTAAACAAAGGTTTGTTGGCTTATACTTCTCATCACAAAGGTGATAAGGAACATGAGCTGTGAAAAGAGGTCAGGAGCAGCGCTTAAGCACGAGTCTTTTGCTATCTGAATATTCACAGACCTCTAGACTCAAGTTCATGGTAGGAATCAGACACACCCAATAGGCCCCAGGTGTGGTAAGAGGACCTTGTCAGAGTGGGGAGCCACACCTCGTTATTTCTTTTGGGGCTTCACTGATTTGAGGCAGATTTAGTGGCAACACCCATCACAACCCACATAGAGCTATAGAAGGCACATCTAGACTCAATGGAAGCAGGCAGCCAGGCCTTGGCCTTCACAGGCGAAGGGGCCTTTTTTTTTTTTGGTACTTAAATTCCTGATAAACATATAGAATGTCATGGTAAGCTTTGTCATCACCTGTGTTTGAAAGTTATCACCGTCCATCTCCTGAGAGGCTATGAAGATTAAAATTTCTACATGTGATAGGTTAACATTTCTAGGAAAGGGACAGCTATCAATATTACTGTCTTAATAGCCATAAATGAATTCTACCCCCTATCCTAAGACAAGGTCATTACATGGGAATGACAGAGTCTTCTCCCAATTCCTATGTGGGAGCCAGAGGGAGCGAGGACAAAACCTGAGACCCTACACAAACAGTAGGAAGCTACTGAAGGTCTTTCGCAGGGTGAGAGGAAAGATGCGCATCCTGAGGCAAGCTTTCTGATTGAGTGGTAGAGGACATGGGAGAATGGTCATTGCAGATGTAGTGAAGCCACTGAGAGGCTATTGCCAGAGTCCATCTGAGTTTGGACTAGGGTGGGGATAGTGGATTTAGAAGTAGAAAGATGAGAGTGGGGGGGGGGGTAAAAACTAATAGATTTCATGTGGAAGTTGAGGCGGGAAAGTGAAGTGGCACAGGGGGTGGGGGAACCCTCAGATTGGGGCTTTTGCAACAGAATGAGGGTGGGGCCATCTATTAAAACACGGACCACTGGAAGGGAGAGCCACAGAATTGGGGGAGAGGCACATTGAATCATGAGCTTCATTTTAGACAAGTTGGAAGTGTTAATGGTAGATGGCTGGGGATGTGGCTTAGTAGTAGAGTGCTTGCTTAGCATGTAATAGGCCCTGGGTTTAATTCTCAGCACCCAAAAAAAAAAAAAAAAAAGTTGATGGCAGATAAAATGAGACCTGTAACCCAGGAGTCTCCAAGAGTCATCCTAGAGCAGGTGCAAATTGAAGATGCCATTATCAGATACCGAAGAGAAGAGGAGAGGGCCTGAAGAAATTCCAGCATTCAGCATTTGAAGAGAAGATAAAATCTGCACAGGGGATATGGGGCCAGAAGCTTGAGGAGTGGAGAAAGTTTGAAATAGCATTTGTGAGTCAGGTGTGGTGGCATATAGTTTGAGCTATGCAGGAGGCAGAAATGGAAGAATCACAAGTTTGAAGCCAGTATGGGCAAATTAGGTCTCATCTCCCAAAATAGAACATTTATAGAGAACAGAGAGAGGAATTAAGACAGAATATCAGTACAACCTTGAAGACTCAGTTGGATGTATTGCTGGTGAACTTATGGCAGTACTCATGTGCTGGGTTGTGATCCTTGCCCTTATCCTTTGGCTGCCCTGATACAGGGGAGGTCATAAAACTGGGGCCTACATCCCTGATGGGAGGTGAGGACTAATTATCCCAAAGAACCTTCTTCAGAGACTTTTCAGTTTCCTTCAGGGGAAGGAGACCACAATCTGGGAAGGCATCCTAACATTCCTACATTTAATTACACAACTCCTCCAGCAGCCCAGGGCCTGGAAGCAATTTCTTGCTTCTCAGGTGTTTGCCAGCTGTTTGCTCAAGCCAGGGGTCCAGAAATGCCACACATCACTGTAGCTTTTTCCCACTTTCTCAGTCCATTGTATGAGACCCATTTAACCATCCACTGCACTCCTGATGGGCCAGTCATTTCTAATTTGGAGCTATTACAAGTAGCCTAGCTCAGTTCCTGACAGTTCGGTTCTAGTGTATGCACCCTGTGTACATTAGTGCTTTGGGGGGTTCTATTTCTTATGTGAAAGCCCCAGTCAAGTCTGCTTTTTTCTTTGCCCCCAACTCCCTCAGGCTCAAGAAAGCCTCCTAAGAGGCCAGATTTTGCAGCACTTTTAATGCACAAAACAAAAGGGAAATGGCTGGCTTGGTGACAGCCTTCATTCCATGTAGAGGGCTCAAGTAAAGATTCAGTCCAGTTGGGAAATAAGTTATAGTTCACAGGGCCTCAGAGCTGAGAGCAGGAGATGCTGTTTCTCTTGACAGCCACAGGAGTAAGGAATCCATTTTCTGGGAATGAAAGGGAAAAAATTGTTGCTACAGGATAGCAGACATCCAGTATTCAGCTGATGGAGCCAGCCAGTGTCCAGGGGAAGCCCAGACCATTCTGCATGAGGCCAGTAGGGCAGCTGCTATAAGAGCACCTCCCTGACTCTTCACCATTCAGCCACATAGAGCATCATCTCATGTGATGATTTCTCAGCTTCCTCGATGCCTCAAAGCCAACAACATAACACGGCTCTCAGTTTCTGAGAGGCAGCCTGAGGCCCAGTTGTCCACAGCTGCTTCTGAGCTCAGCTGCTGTATCCCTGTCCTCCCAGCACAGCCACCCACCTGATTTCAATGCATGTATGCCTTTGGCTGCTCCATGGCCTGGTGTGCCTGCAGCACTGCCACGGCCTCTTCTATCTGCGAGACACAAGTAGGAGGGGCTTAACACAGCTTCTCAGAAGGATCCCAAAAGGGCCTTGGCCTCCCCCACCTCAGCATGATAAAGAGTCTGTGAACCCCTCATCCACTGCTGCTTGCAAGATCCCTTGCCCCATGGTCACCTTGTCAAGATAGAGGTACACTGCTGGACACTGGAAAAAACCCTTATACCGAGTCAGAATATAGTTCCTTATACCAAAACCTCAAGTAGCACACCCTCAATTAAGGCCCTCTCCCACAGGTGTGGTGATGCATGCCTGAAATCCCAACAGCTTGGGAGGCTGAGGCAGGAGGATTACAAGATCAAAGCCAGCCTTGACAACTTAGTGAGGCCCTAAGCAACTTAGCGAGACACCCTGTCTCTAAATAAAATATAAAGGGCCGGGGATGTGGCTTGGTGGGAAAGCACCCCTGGGTTCAATCCCCAGTACCAAAGTGGGGGGGAAGCACTCTCCCACACCAACATTCAGCAGGCCTTCAAGGAGTGTGAGCAAGAAGATCCACTTCATCTGGCCTCGTGGCTGGGACAGGCCTTGTCTTTGGCTGTCCTGCTGACCAGGCTCTACCAACCTTGGCGTGGAGGGACTCTGGAGACTCCAGCATGAGCAGCAGCTCCGAGTTGTCGATCTCCAGCAGCATGCCTGTGATCTTGCCGGCCAGCTGGTTGTGTACGTTATGGACAAGCGGGTAAAGACGCTCCCCTGTGTGGACAAGCTCTGATGGCTTATGCCACACCTGGCCCATACATAGCCCAGCACCCAAGAGTGGTATCAGGGGTGGAGCAGCGAGGACATCTGGGTTCTTAACCCAGTGCTCCTTCTAGGCTGTGTCACTTACTGGGAACTTCTTTTTTCAGCTGCATAGTGCCTATGGCAAACCCTGCCTTAAAGGACAGTTTGAAGAATCAAATTTGATAATGTATATGAGGTAATTACAGCACAGGGCCTAACACAAAGTCATTTGCTGTTTAAAGACCACTCGTTCATTTTGCAAGAAATAGTTCTAACTAGATACATCGAAATTCTGGACAGAATATGATAATGCTGAACTTCGGAGTTTCTTTGGAGGGTGGAAAACAAATCATAGGGCAAATTCATCTTCCACTATAAGGATTTCTAACAAGAAGTCTTAGTGTTGGCGCCAGGCACATGGAGGGTCCAGCCAGGATTGGGATCTTAAATGGTGGGATAAGGGTCTTCCCATAAGGGAATGTTTACAGAGACCGCCTAAGAAAAACTTCTGCCTTTGTTAAGCACATTCAAAAAAATTTTATAGCAGATGGGATGGGATATGGAATGGCAAAACCCTAATAAATAAACCGAGAGATGAGCGGTGTGGAAGTATCTAAGGCCTTCAGCCGGAAGATCTCGGTGACCATGCAGGGAAGATGCTGCCAATCAGGAACAAGCCTGCTCATTCAGTCACACAGTCTCATGTCATGGACAGAAGTGAACCAGGAATTCAAGAGTCCTTTGCACAGATTTTTTGCACCTCCCTGCAGTGGGCACCAGGACACAGATTAAATTTGGTAACAAACTGTAACACCCCTGGGCCATTTCTCAGCCTCAACTCAAGGTTGTCCGCTTTCTTATGGTGCCTCCTGATCCTGGCCCTCTCTACATCTGGGGTGTCTCTCACCAAGTCAGTCAGAACAGCAGAACTGGAAAAAGCTTGGGCTGACCAGAGTTTTAAGACTAGGGTAGAAGCAGATCGGGTGAGATCGCTGGGCAGCTCTGTGAGGCTCCCAGCAGTCTTATCAGCTCCCAGCCCTCCTTTTGCTGCCCCAATGTAGGGGTGTTAGCCACTCACCAATCATCTGCTTTTGCTCATGCAGGGGCGCTGCAGCCAGCATGGATGCGGTCAGGGGCTCCTGGCCAGGCACGTGCACAGCAGGCTCCTGGACCTATACAGTGCCGGGGACATGTCCCTTAACCACAGGGATGGGAAAGGCCTCCAAATACTATGTGAACACAGGCCTCCAGGAAGGTTCTGGAAGAGGGGAGCCGGGGATAAGGTCTGGACAATCAGGTGGGGCAGAGTCCCTAACAAGAGCACACGGGTTAGAAGACTTAGATGTGCTATGACCCCATATATGCCCCTAATCAGTGTTACCAAATAAAAGTCATGCATCACTAATCACTAAGTGCCAGATAAAGCACCGTATCAGGTAGCTTTATGGACACGTCCCCAGAACACCCTTTCACATGTTGGTAACTTTAAAAAGTGTTTTTGCTATTTAAAGACCACTCTTGTTCAAATGCAAAAGATAGTTCAACTAGGCACATTAGAATTCTAGACAGGATATGATAGTGTTGAATTTGAGGCCTCTTTTTGGTAGGAAAATAAATACACAGTCTTTCATTAAATCATAGTAGATATTTTTAGTCCTATTTTGATACTTAATCACATCCCTTCAATACTCAGTATATTCTTAGAATACCTTTCACTGATGTTCAACAGAAATCCAAATTAATTTTAGTAATAACCTATGCAAAGCAAATCATAATTAGCAAATAAAATATGACCCTGGCCCTCTTTCCCCTTCTGCTGCACACATTAGTTAATGGAACTTTATAAGCCAACACATTAGCCAAGGTTCTGAGCCAGGATTCCCATAGCCCAGAGTAGGGCGGGCAGCTGGGCCAGTCTTACCCCACGGGTACTGTGTACAGTTGAGGGACATTTGTATGGCTGTAGAGGCCGGCCTGGTGTAGAGCATCCTGCCCCACTGGGTCCTATCGTCTGGGTACCAATGTTGGCTGTAAAAAATAAACAGGGTTCAAACAGCTGCTATCCACAATACAAAACCCCAAACAGAAAATAATGTGTTGGTTAGCACAGAGAAATTGAAACACTCGTGCACTCTTGACAGGAGTGCAAAAAACAGCCACCGTGGAAACACATGTTACATGAGTGTTCCTCAAAAAATGAGAATCAGCAAATCACCCAACAGTTCCGCTGTGGGTATGTACCCAAAAGAATGGAAAGCAGGGTCTCGGAGGTTTGTGACTCATGTCCACAGCAGCAGCATGCACAGCGGCCAGCAGGTGGGAGCAGCTCAGGTGTCCCTCACAGATGAGCAACACGTGGCATATGTGTACAATGGAATATTATTTAGCCTTAAAAAGAATGGAGATTCTGGGCTGGGGTTGTAGCTCAGTGGTAGAGTGCTTGCCTTGCATGTGTGAGGCCCTGGGTTCAGTCCTCAGCAGTATATAAAAATAAATAAACAAATATTTTTTTTAAAAGACAGATTCTGACACATGCCACAGCATATGTGAATCCTGAAGATACTGTGCTAAGTGAAATAAGTCACAAAAGGACACATTTATATAATTCTATTTACATGAAATACTTGGTATAGTCAAATTCTCAGAGACAAAGTAGAATGGTGGTTTCCAGGGAATGGAGGGTGGGGGGAAGTGAGGAGTTAGGGTTTAATGGATATATAATTTGTTTTGCAAGGAAAAGTTCTGCAGGTGAATGGTGGCAATGGCTGCAACACTGTGAATGCACTAAATGCCACTGAATTGTACACTTCAAGATGAGTAAGGGAGCTGGGCGTGGTGGCACACGTCTGTAATCCCAGCAACTTGTGAGGCTGAGGCAGAAGGATCGCAAGTTTGAGGCCAGCCTCAGCAACTTAGTGAAACCTTGTTAAAGGACTGGGAGTGTAGCTCAGTGGTAGAATGCTCTGGGTTCAACCACCAGTACCAAAAAAAAAAAAAAAAAAAAAAAGTTAACTGGTAAACTGTTATGTATATTTTACCACAATAAAAAGAAAAAAGCAGGGTGCGAGGGCCTGGCAGTGACCTCAGGCCAAGGACTGAGTCTAGCTTGTTCATACAGAAGCCCCAGATGCCAAGCGCAGGACCAGCACACAGACTCGCATGAGGAGGTTTGCTGAGTGAAGCAATGGCTGTGCTTGCCTTGCAGCCAAAGCCCACACGTGTACACAGCCACTGCAGTCCTAAGATCCAGCTCCTGGCTGTGTGTTCTCAGTCCTCACAAAAGGGACGCGCTATTCTTACACCCATTTTAAAGAACAGGTGATCAGGCACAGTAGTTAGTGAGGACCACAGAGTGAGCAAGTCCCAGGAGCTGGAGGCCAAGCTAACTTCCACATACATGCATGGCCTCCAGAGTCAGCCTGGCTTACCAGGAGGCAAGGTCACCATGGAGACTGGTCTTACTCCCTCCAAGGCCAACCTCAGCACCAAGACTTGCCTACCTTCCTCACACCCACAGTCCTCTTGGCCCTGCGCACACTCACCCACTCTCTGGGCGTGGTGCACCGGGTGGAGCTCCTGAGTGGAGGCCTGACTGACACTGCCAGCGTGGGCCTGGGGGTGCCGAGACATGCCTGTTGGCCGGACCATTGCAGCAGCTGGAGGACAGACGGCTTGCAGCACAGAGAAATGGAGAGAGAAAGTTTATGGGCTATAATCACCATGCTCTGAAAGGTCCGGGGCTGGGAAGGGGAACTACAAATTGACAGCAGAGAGATGAGTGACTCCAACCCAAAACCAGGGAGTAGGAGTACGGAAATCTTCAGTGACAAAGCCAGCTCATGTCTGCCCAAAGCCCCAAGATGCCCAAGTGCTGGGGTCATGCACCTTAGTTCCCCTAAGACAGTTTTAAGTGAACGTGAACTTGGCTCTTAGGAAGGTCATCAGCAGTGTAGCCAGAGGAGTTTCATTTTCTCAGATTTGTTACAAGATTTTTTTTGTTGTTTTTGTTTTTGTACTGGGGATTAAACCCAGGGGCCTTAACCACTGAGCCACATCCCCAGTGCAGGGGGGAGGGGCGCGGGGGGGCCCACTCCACCCCTTTTTCTTTTTTAATTTAAAGACAGGGTCTTGCTGAGTTTGCTTAGGGCCTTAGCCTCCCGATTGTTCAGCTATAAATGAGAGAAGTCTTTGGAGATAAGGACAATGGCCACCCTGCATGTCCTCTACAGCCTTGCTACTGTTCTGGGGGCTTCATGCACACTCATTCAGGCCCACACTGAGAAGAGGAAACTGAGGCTCAAGAGAGGTGAAATGGCTTGACCCTGTGTTACACACTGCTTCTGGGGCCCATGCCCATAGGCTGGGCTGAGGGTATGGGGGCTGGGTCACTCACATGAAGGTCTATGTGGCTGGGCTGTCCACCTGGGGGCAGGCTGGATGGAGGCCATGGAGCCAGAGGCACAGTACGCAGCCTGGGCCGGAGGCTGTGGGGGAGAAGAGGACCTAGGATGAGGGGCTCAGCAATAGAGGGGCCAGGTGAGAAATCTCATCCTTTCAGGGACACTACTGCAGGAACTCTACTGTCCTCTCTAGGGAACAGGTTAGTAAAAGGCTCCTTCCTCTCTCATGAGACCCTTTAGGGAAAGATCTCAGATTTCAATCCCTGCTCCTTATCAGGCCTAGATGAAAAAGGCAATACCTCTTACTCAGATTTGTACCAGCTGAGAGGGCATGTCACCAACCCTGTGGCTTTCAATGGCTTATGTCTTCCTACTTTAAGTCCCATGAGGTCCTTTCCCAAACCAGGTTCCTCAGAACAGCAGCGCAGGGAGGTGTTAACAGGCACCCCACACAAACCACCATGAACTGAGGAATGCTTCCTGCTCTCCCCTCTGTGGGGGCCACCGTGGGGTCAGCGTGTTGGGGCAGGATAGTGGATGTGGTAAAGAAATGGAGGCTCCTTTTGTTTGATACAACATCTCCTCAACTTATCTGACCAAAGAAAGTCTTTCTGCACAAGCGATTCAAGACTCTCTCAGGCGGGGAGATGCTCCTAGGTACTCCACCTTTTACAGGTGAGGTGACAGCTTCAGGGGTTGGGACAGTGCCTAGTGAATTTTCAACAGAAGCTCTCCCTGGAAGCTCCCGCCTTCCTGCTCTACCTGGCTATCAGGGAAAGGGTGTGGCGGGAGCTGCGGGCAAACTGTCACCTGGGGCAGAGCGGGCAGGAAGTAGCTGGAGGGCTGCTGGAAGGAGCCCAAGAGGGGGCGGCCCAGGGCCCGCACCGTGGAGAGGCGCTGCATGTACTGGTTGGTCAAGATGGCCTTCCGCTCCTCTTTGCGCTGGGCCAATGCCACGTACAGAGGCTTGGTGCCCACGATGCGCCCATTCATCTCTGTCACAGCTTTGGTTGCCTCTTCTGGAGAGGAAAAACACACAAAGCCAAACCCCTTGCAGTGGCCACCCTCTGTCATCACCTAAAAGCAAGACAAGACAAGGGTTGCTGGGGATGGAGGAGGAAGACTCCTGAGCTGTGCTCCCCTCCTTCCCCAGGAAGCCCCATGAGAAACCTGTGCTCAGGGGACAAGCTGTGCACCCTGTGTTGACTGAGGCCACTGTGTGCCAGACACTGCGTGCCTTTACATGAGGCTCACGTGCACAGCCTCCCGGTGAGGGAGGTCCTGCAGCTCCCACTTTACGGGAAGAAAGGGACCCAGACACAGCCAGAGGCCTCTGCAAGGCCCTGGACCAAGTTTTTAGGAGTTTGGGGAAGATATTCTCAGCCTTATAAAATGGCCTCATTGTTTTGGAGTAACTTCAGACTTACAGAAAAGGTACAGGAACAGTACCGAGCCCTGGGTCCCTCGCAGCCTCCCTAAGCTAGCAAGGCACATTTGTCCAGACTCCAACCCTGATGCAATGTGATTAACCATGACACTCTCCCCGCCCACTCTACACTTCATTTGGATTTCACTTTTTTAACTAATATTTTTTCTCTTCCAGGATCTCCCCCTGTTTTGTGGGTAAGCTTTCCTGAGGTTGAGACACTGCCCGGGCTCCCACACTCTAAGGGCTAGAGCTCTTTCCAACACCTGCCCTTTCAGAGCCCGTGCTCTGACTTGGTGACTTTCAAACAGCCACCCCACAGTATAGCTGGGAACCCATAGATCCCCCCACCCAGGGAAGTCATTATAGAATTCAGAGGGGCTGTGAACTTAATGGGGAAAAGTGACAGCCTTATTTCTACACTAGCATGTCCTCCCATTATGAATATGGCCAACAAAAGAAAAATATCATGGCAATTTTAACCAGGCCTATGAATATTGCGAAGAAAAATCATGACATAATGTTGCTGATCTCAAACTGTCATTTACTCTGCTACCCTGATAGATCTTAGGTTGATGTGTTAATAAAGAAGTTCTTACTAGGCTGGGGATATAGCTCAGTTGGTAGACTGTTTGCCTTGCGTGCACAAGACCCTGGGTTTAATCCCAAGCACCGCAATAAAAAAACAAGTAGTACTTACTTCTGACATTTTAGTATTTTGATGTCATACTTCAATAAAACTGGTTTTTATAATCCTGTGAATTTTATCATTTAAAAATATTATTAGAAAGGATCCACAGGCTCACCAGACAGAGATGTTGACACAAAAATACTGTTAAGAACTGTTAGTAGGATGCCAGGCACACCTGGAGGCTGAGGCAGGAGAATCCCACAGCCAGCCTCAGCAACTTAGTGAGTCCCTAAAACTCAGTGAGACCCTGTCTCTAAATAAAATATAAAGAAGGACTGGGGATGTGGCTCAGTGGTTAAGCACCCCTGGGTTCGATCCCTGGTAAAAAATATACATATATAAATAAAAATAAAAGGGGCTGGGGATGTAGCTCACTGGTAGAATGCCCTGTGTTCAATCCCCAGTAGCAAAAAAAAAACAAAAAACTGATAGGTAAAAACAATAGTAATGATAATTAATAAACATGCAGAATTTATTATGAACTTGACTGTGGACTAAGTATTTATAGTAGTTAGTTTATACATCAACTCAATTCTCATAATCACTACTTTATATAAAATGGAAAATATATAAAATTATATAAAATCCTCATAACCTGATTGGCCTACTGAAAAGATGATCACCCCAGGTGTCCCTCAACTCCGAGCAATCCAGATTTATATATGTCCTTTGTTCAAGGACTCCTCAATGTCAGTGAATCTCCTTAAATTAAATACAATGTGTGCCCGATGGTCACAGCCACTCCGGCCTGCTGCACATGGACTGCACGTGCTCTGTATGCAGCTCCATGCGCAGCACTCGGGAGCCTCCCGAGGGATGATGTTGCTTCCGTTTCACAGGTGGGTAAACAGAGTCTGAAAGGCACTCACATGCCCAGGTTCTCCAGCTGGGAAATGGTAGGGCTGGGATTTAAGATGTAGGTCTAAGGAACTCGAAGAGCCCAGCTTTCCAGTACAATACCAAGGGTGCTGCACTTCCTAAAAGCAGGACCGGATCCCATAGCTTCCTGTCTCATTTTTCAAAAGGTCTCTACCTCTCCACCCTCCCAAATGAGAATCTTCCCCAGATACCAGGCTCCCTGAAGGGTTTAAGATTGGATTCAATGTCGAGAGAAATTCTAGATCCCTTTCTAAGACCCCAACCATCACATATGCGAAGGTCCCCAGCCCCATCACCCACACTGTTCCGAATTCCCACCCACAGAGCCTGACAAGTCAAACGCTGCTGCCACTGCTACTCCAGGAAGCCTCCCTCCGTCCCACCTAGCTTTGCCTCCAGCATCCCCCGTTCTTATGAGTTCACAGTATTTAAAGGCTGTTAACAGAACATACCAGTCTGTTCCAGAACACACCTGGTATGTTCCTAGATGCTTCCCACAGTGTGGGATGAATAGCCATGGGTCATCTTAAAACCATCTGGGGACTTTTCAAAAGGTGCCCAAGCCCTGCCTCCAGATATCTACATTCAATTTGTCTGATCCAGGTCTGTACTGAATAACTTTCCAGGCAATCCTCAAGAAGCCAGGGCTGAGCACCATGCAGTGAGCCCATGGCTCTAAAGAGATAAGGCTAAGAAGTTAAGACTCCTGGTCAGGGTCAGAGTTACTGAGTAGGAGGACCATTTTCACATCTCAGATGTCTCACAGGGGTGGGCACACAGGCTCAATAAATGGGGAAGAATGTGGAAAACCAATACAACCCAATTCTCTCATTTTTCAGATAGGAAAACGGAGGCCCAGAGGGGTTATGTCATTGGCCAAAGCCAGAAAACAAAGGTCCACAGAAATTTTAAGACATAAATTTCCAGAATCTGGCATACAGCAGGTGCTCAATAAATGTTGTTACAGTGCACCCCAACAAATCCAGTAGTAGTCTATACATCTACTGTCTTTCCCTCCAACCTAGACAAGGCTGCAGATGGATTATGAGCTCCAATATGGTCAGACGGAGCCCTAAAAAGCCCAGCACCAACTCCCCAAATGCCCAGTGAGAGGCTGGTGGGCGTGCGGGATGGGAGGGTGAAGGGGAGGCTGTGCCCTGGACGCGTCCCGGCCCTCACCTTCGCACTGGTAATCACTCCGTAGGGAGAGAACACTTTCCTCAGTCTCTCGTCATCAATGGAGTCATCCAGATTCTTCACATACAGGTTCACGCCCTATAGGAAAGGGCACTGCTTGATTCGCCCTCCCGCCTCAAGCCCCAGATTGCCTCAGGACAACATCGGCTGCCATGGCCACGAGAGTCACTGGGAGCCCTGCCAGCCCAGCCTCCTGTTCTCAGGCTCCCATGGCTCAGCATGCCCATTACCCAGAAGCTGCAGCCCCGGGCAGTTCTCATACACCTGCCTGGGTCCCCACCTCCCCATGGGCTTTACGCACTTTATAGATGGGAGACACAGGGGGACGCAGAGCTCCTCCCAGGCAGGGCCAGCTGCCACTCACGCCTGCTGGCTCAGAACCAAGTAAGTTGACTCTCCCCTGGTGCCAGGCACACCCCTAGGTCCTTCACACATTTTGACATTTAATCCTTAAGAGAAGGAGACTTTAATCCTCATTTCACACACATCAAAACTGAAGCAGAAACAGGTCAAGTGCATCGCTTCTGATCAGATAGCCTGGAAGTGGCAGACAGGACTGACCCCGGTGGTCTAACCTCAGACCCCTGGCTCCTTGGCACTGAATGTCGGCTGCCCCCAGGACCTCAATGTCCTCCTTCCAGACTGCCCAAGCACAAAAGTGTGTGAACACACAACAGAATTGAGACCCCACCATTGTACAGTTGAATATCCTGCTTGCCCATATTGTGTCCTTGGCCTGTACCCAGTAGCTCCCTGCCCCCAAAACACGACCACTGAAAATTCCACACATTGCCAAACGTCCCTAGCGTAGAGAGGAAAAACTGCTCCTCACTGTGCGCTACTGAGGATGGACTGCGCGCGTGGGTGTAGGTATATATGGAGTACACACACCCTTCTCCATGAGGGACCTAGAACTTCTATTAAAAACTTTTGAGGGATTCATTTCCCAAAGAAGGCTTAAATTGTACTGAGCTACAATTTTAATTACATGAATTAACTTAAAACGTTTTTAAAATATTTTTTTATGTTGATAGACCTTTATTTTTTATTTGTTTATACGTGGTGCTGAGAATTGAACCCAGTTCCTCCCACATGCCAGGCAAGCGCACTACCTCTGAGCCACAGCTCGAGCCCCTTACTTAATATAATTTTAATGATTGCACCACATTCCAACCTTTGAATGTGACACATTTGGCCTAATTATTCGTAGCCTGGAGTAGGATTTCCTCTAGGGGATTTGGAATATGTAGAGCCCTTTGTCCACATGAAGGCCTGGGCTCACCTGGTAGCGGTTCTGCCTGTCCTGCTTCATTTGTTCGAACCTGCGCTTCAGCTCATTTTGCCGCTCTGCCCGCTTCTGGGCTCGGCCCACATACAGCAGCAGCCCGCTCACCTCCTTCCCATTCATTTGGTCCACAGCCTGGGGTGGGTGGGGAGCAAACACCTGGTAACCACCCAGACCTGGCCATCTCCTTGGTCTCCAGCCCTGCCTTTGGGCCTAGAGGGAACTCCCTGCAAACCACTCTGGCCTTCCTTGCTCAGGATCATTAGTACCGGATAAAGGTCATTTGAAAAGTTTTGCAAAGTGAATTATAGATCTTTAAAATTTGAGTAGGGCTCTATTTAAAAAAAAAAAAATTGAAGTCTGCAAAGTTTCCCATATTTAAATTAAAAAATATATATATATAAATATATAAATTAGTTGTAGTTGGACACAATACTTGCACATGCTAGGTGAGTGCTCTACCACTGAGCCATATTTAAAATTTAATTATTTTAAATATATTCAAGTATTCCCATATTTTAAACACATATTACTCAGTGAAAGAAGCCAACCTGTAAAAGCTACATGCTATATGATTTCCACTATATGACATTCTGGAAAAGGCAGAACTGTGAGGTAAGTACAAACGGTCAGTGTTGGCCAGTGGCTGGTGGGTAGGGAAGGCTGAAAGAGCACAGTTTCTTAGGGCAGTGAAACGCTGATAGTGAGACAATGAGCACATGTCCTGTGATAACCATGCGCCAGTGCAGGTTCATCAGCTATGATGAGTATGTCACTCTGTTGGGGGATAATGACAATAGGGGAGGCCAGGTATGTGTAGGGATAAAGGGAGTATACCTATACCTGTGCCTTTCACTCAATTTTGCTGTGAACCTAAAACTGCTTTAAAAAGTAAAGTCTGCTAGAAAATATCTGAAATTCAAGTTCTTACTACAACTACATGTGGACAATTTGAACAGAGCAGCAAGCAAATGTCATGATTACTGCTGGGCATGAAGGCACAGCTGTAATCATGTCATGTAATCCCAGCTGCTACCTGGGAGGCTGAGGCAGGAGGATCGAAAGTTTGAGGCCAGTCTGGGCAACTTGGCAAGACCCTGTCTCAAATAAAAAAGGTCCAGGGATGTAGCTCAGAGGTAGAGCATTCCTGGATCAATCTTCAGTCTCTCACACACACACACACACACACACACACACACACACGCACACAAAAGGACAATTATAATCATCACTTCATATCGGAATTTCACAGTACGAAAGAATCCTTTCTGCTAACTGAGGACTGTAAGTTTTTTTTTTTTTTCATTTTTTAGGTGTAGATGTACATAACACAATATCTTTATTTTTTTTATGTGGTGCTGAGGATCGAACCCGGGCCCCGCCCTTGCTAGGCAAGCACTCTACCACTGAGCCACAAACCCAGCCCTGTAATTTTTTTTTTTTTTTAAATAAACATTTGTGTCTTAGCTGGGCATTGCAGCACACGCCTGTAATCCCAGAAACTAGGGAGGCTGAGGCAGGAGAATCAAAAATTCAAGATCAGCCTCAGCAACTTTAGCAAGGTCCTAAGCAACACAGTGAAACCCTGTCTCAAAATAAAAAAATAAAATGGGTTTCGGCTGGGGATGTGGCCCAAGTGGTAGCGCGCTCGCCTGGCATGCATGGGGCGCTGGGTTCGATCCTCAGCACCACATAAAAATAAAGATGTTGTGTCCACCGAAAACTAAAAAATTATATATATGTATATATATATACACACACACATTATGTATATTATATATATATATATATATATATATAAATAAAATTATCTCTCTAAAAAAATTTAAAAAATAAAAAATAAATAAAATGGGCTGGGGGTGTGGCTCAGCAGTGAGGTGCCCCTGGGTTCAATCCCAAGAAAAAAGAAAAAGAAAAGAAAATGTTTGTATCTTAAACTAAGGATTTAGCAGGCTTAGGCCAGTTAACTGCATAAAATTCCCCATCCTCTGCAAGAAGTGCAACTTATCTCTGTTATCTATGGACTTTGAACTTCATTTTCATTAGCTCAACCACAAGAATCAGAAGTCAATGCCAAGCATTTCTTGACTCAGTGGCTAGGATTTTTCATGGGTTTTTTATTTTTTACACTGTGTTAGGAGAAATGTTGCAGGGAACTGTCTTAAGTGGCTGGTACATTAGTAAAGATTTGTGTCTGATGAGGACTTTGGCTTCCCTGCCTCAGTATTCAGTTCTTTGAACTGCAAGGCTTAGAAGTGACCTTGGGGATGGAGCCTTTGCCCCCCAGCCTAGAAGGGCCAGACTCTCCCACCCTCTTGGCCCAAATAGAGGGGAACTTCTTCCCCTCCACAGCGGCTGGAGGCCCATACACCCGATCTCCCTTCCTCCTAGTCCTGGCTCTGCCCCTCCTCCCTGGAACAGAGCCACTGGGCGGCTCCTACCTTCTGGGCTTCCTCATGCTTTTCAAAGTTGACAAAGCCGAAGCCCCGGGAGTGGCCGCTGTTGTCCCTCATCACCTTCACACTCAGCATCTTTCCTGGGAAGGATCAACCTGGCTCAAAGGGGAGGTGGGGAGCCCCAGGATGCTCCCTCCCTGACCTCAGGAAGCCTCAGGAGGGCCCTCCTCATGGCAAACCTGGATGTGACAGAGAGCAATAGGGACCCTCCTCCCTCAGGGAACCCACACACCAAACTGGGAGAAGAGGTCCTGCAGGGCCTGCTCGTCCGTGTCCACGTGCAGGTTCTTCACATAGATGTTGGTGAACTCCAGGGCCCGGGCGCCCAGCTCGGCCTCCCGCTCCCTTCGAGACTTGAAGTGGCCAACAAAGCTGTGGACACACCACCAGGGCAGGCAGCGGCCAGACCTTAGCACCCCTCACCGCACCCCCAAGCCACCCAGCATCATTGGGCCACTTGTGCCAGTCACTGTGCTTCCCAGCCTCCACCTCCCTCACTGGGCAACTGCACAGGGCCATTCCATGTAGATGAACCTGTCCAAGACTCTCCAACAGCCAAGGGGCTATGTTTCAGAGCTTGTCCCTAGCATAAGATTCAGAAGACTTTATTTTGTGACAAACACACACCATATACCAGGCAGCTAAGAGCACAGGAGGCAAGAGCATGAATTTGGGATTTAGACAAGAACTTGAATCCTCAGTCTGCATCTGCCTGACTGTGTAACCCTGGGCAAGTTACTTCACCTCTCTGAGCCTCAGTGCTCATTCCTGTGAAACTGGGATCCAAATCACATCATCAGGCTTTGCTTATTCATTTAATACATACCGAGTGCACTAGAAAAGCAGGACTGAGTCAATCAGACAAGGTCAATGCCAATGTCACTCTGGGGGATGGGTTGAAATCCCTTAAATACAACATTAATTTTAAGTAATTTCCAAGTTCACATAAACACACCTCGGAGAGTACCTTTTTCGTCTTTCCATTTTATTTCTATTTTTAAAAAGAGACAGAGTCTCACTGTTGCTCAGGCTGGTATCAACGCCCAGACTCACACAGTGTGCCTGCCTTAACCTCCCAAGTAGCTGGGCCACCAGACAGCGCCATTATGCCGAGCTGGCATGTCTCCTTAAGGGGAAAAAAAAAAAGCATAGCTATGTGCCGTCACCACGCTTGTAATCTCAGGGACTTGGGAGGGTGAGGCGGGAGGACTGCAAGTTGGAGGACAGCCTTATCAATTTAGCAAGACGTCTCTCAAAACATAAAAGCATAGCTCTGTGGTAGGTGTGAATCTAGGGGCGCTCCAAGAAGAGAGCCAAGCACACGGAGTGCTGGTGCTGATGAAAAACAAACAGCAGAGGGAAATGTGAGTTAATACTTGCTAACAAAGATGATACTTTTTGGGGGGGGGTGTGCCAGGGATTGAACTCAGGGACACTTGACCACCGAGCCACATCCCCAGACCCACTTTGTATTTTATTTAGAGACAGGGTCTCCCTGAGTTGCTTAGCACCTTGCCTTTGCTGAGGCTGGCTTTGAACTCATGATCCTCCTGCCTCAGCCTCCCGAGACGCTGGGATGACAGGCGTGCGCCTCCACTCCAGGCAAGATGACACCTTTTTGAGAATTGGTAAAAGCCCACCTAGGTCAGTGTGACCTGTCAATAGGACCCCTGCCACCAGAGACCCTGACAAAATGCCCCCAGGTACTCTCCCAGCTCAAAGCCGCCTTCACTCCACAGCACTGAGGGCTGGGCCACCAGATGGGCAGAATCCACACTGGGGAGGGCGCAGCCAGAAGCAGGTCCCCCCCAGCATCCGTACCTTCCTATCTGTAAAGCAGGGTTGACCCCGGCCTGGACAGGCTAAGCATGTGCTGCTTTTCCTTCTGTCCCCAAATCCCATGAAACCAACAAGGTTTAAGGAAAATGCACAGCCAGACTGAGAAGACCGAGTCCACGGACCATGTGGCCTTTAGCCGAAATCCTCTCTCAAATTTCGAGATGGTCACTGCATTTCTGACTCGGGACAACCCTTTAACACCCGCATCAGCTCCAGTTTGACATCAGGAGAGGCCCTGAGAGGTCAAGCAACTTGCCTGAGGTCATGCGTCGGGGAGACTGCTGCCCCGCGTCTGGCACCCACCTTTCCTACTTGGTGGGAGCCACGGTCCTGTCCCTCCAGCCTCCGACCCTCCCCCGGGCACAGCCACTCACACTTTGCGGTCATTCAGCAGCATCCCGTTCATGGTGCTGATGGCCTGCTGCGCAGCCTCATGGGTCTCAAAATGCACAAAGCCGAAGCCCCGAGAGCCGTGCTCGTCACATACCACCTGGACCACAGGGAGGAAGGACAGACAGAACATCCAACCCCCAATCGGGGTTCCGGAGAAAAGGATGACAAAGATGATCATGAGTGCCCAGCCCCCGTGTGCTCACTCTGCGCGTGTCAAAGACGGTCCCATGAGGACCGGGGTAGCTCAGTGGGACAGTGCTTGCCTCCCTGGGTTCCATCCCTAGCACCAAAAATAGAAAATAATCCTATGTCACATAACAGCACCATTGTAGAGATGGGAAACTGAAGTTCAAAGAGACCGATCCACTTGCGTAAGATGATCGAGTACTCAGAATGAGCACACTGCGCCACACCACAGACCAGCTCTGCCTTCCTACGCCAGCAGGTCCTCAGACCCCCACTGTGTTTTCTTTTTCAGTAGCACTGGGGATTCAGCCCAGGGGCACTCTACCACTAAGCTGCATCCCCAGCCCTTTTATTTATTTTTTATTTTGAGACAGGGTCTCACTAAATTGCTAAGCCTGGTCTCAAACTTGCCATCCTCCTGCCTCAGCCTCCCAGGTAGCTGGGATTACAGGTGTGCACCACTGTGCCCAGCTTGGGATGCTCTTTCTAAAATGTGGTTCTGACCAGTCTGTCCGAGCTCCAGTGGCTCCTACGCACAAATTTCTCAGCGTCTGAGGCTCTCCAATAGATCTGCACAACTGATCCTGCATCCAAACTCATGCCCAGCACACACCCTCCACCTCCCAGCCCCAGACAGGGCTCTTCCACCCACACTCAGTAACATTGACTGGGACCCCACTGTGGGTCGCACACTTGCAAGAGCATCCTATACTTTTCTTGATATGTTTGCTAGGAGAAACCTCCCAGACAATTCTCAACCTGAGTCGGAGAGGGAAAATGGAAATAAATGACTTGTCCAAGGTCAGCCAGCAGGAAGAGCTTCTTAGTTATTTTACTTGCCATGTGTTGCTGACAGTACTTCAAGTGTCCTTCCATTGGCTCCACATAACTCAGTTTATCCTCATGACAACCTATGAGGTAGGTTCCTCCTACCAAAGTCACCTTTTTAGGCCTAAGGTCATGGAACCAGGAAGTGGAAGAGGCAGGGTTTAAACACAGGACATTTGGCCCCAGACCATGGTCTGACCTTATGTTGCTCCCGACTAAGCAACTGGGCTTGGCACTTAGGTGACCTGATTCAGGTTATGTGCTCTTCCCACAGTGACACAGAAACCTCTCTGACAGCTAAATGGCTCTCTCCTTCCTTATCACCATCACGATCACCATGCTTCTCCCTCAGAGCTGATTTCCAGCTATTCCATCTCCAACTGACCCAAGAGCTCCCAAGGTGAGGGACACACCGTAAGCCTTGTTTCTAAACTGGCCCACAACAGAGCCTCATTAAGTCTGCAAAGACCTGCCTGCATCACACGGAGCTTTCTGTCTACTCCTCAGAGTCCCAGAGGACCTCAAGGCCCGTAGCCGGCAAAGACACACTGATCCCTGTTCAATTTTCTTCAGTGGCAAATCCACTAATTCAAATTCTGATTCTGCCACTAAAAATCAACCCCCAGTGCAACATAACTGTGGACAAGGGACTCCAACTCTCTCAACTTCTCTGTCCTCAAGTGCAACTCAGTGATCCTTTGCATGATTTAAGGGGCTGTGGAGGGAAATTGGATGTGACCATATGTGCAGAAAACCTAGCACTAGAAGGTACTTAGCAAATCTGCCATTGTTACTGAAGAGTCTCTTCCACTGATCCTCAAAGATGGGGAGCAGCCCTGTCTCTCTGTCACAGGGAACTTTAGCATATTACTATACCTCAAGTCTCAGTCTGCTCCTCTGAACCACAGGGAGAGTCCCTCATCCAGAGAGAAGGCATGAAGCCTTAGAACTTAGGGATTGTGCCTGACACAAAGTAGCACTCAGAAAAGTTCCAAGACAGAGATGGCCATAAGCCCAGGAAGGTGGTTGCCCCAGAGGCTGCAGGGTAACTCACCAGCCATCCCCATACAACGCAGGGGCAGAACACCCAGGCTTAAGCCCTCTGGCCAGCACACACCAACCTGCTGTCTGGCCTCTGCTGCTCAACATCTTCATAGACAAAGTGAGAACAATCAGAGACCTTCTCAAATGATAATTCATCCCATCACTCAGCAAATATTTACTGAGCACCTATTATGTGCTCATGGCTAGTTGAGATACTGGGATGCAACAGTGACTAAGTACAGGATCACTACTCGGAGTGAACTTGCATGCCAATGGGAGAAAAATCCTTTTGTTTTGTTTTGGTGCTGGGGATCAAACCTAGGGCCTCATGTATGCTAGGCAAGTGCTTTACCCCTGAGCTCCATTTCCAGCCCCCAAAGAAACCTTAACAACAAGATGTGGCAGGGTCTGGGGGTGCAGCTCAGTGGTTCCACTTGTATTCAGCAGGCACAACAAAAACAAGATGTGGACACTGATGGCCATGATAGCCCCATTCATGGCTTTCCTGTAGCCTTTGTCCTGTAATCTCTAGCCCCCTCACTCTTCACCCTGCCTGTGGGCTGGTCTTGAGTCTTGTCTTGGCTAACAGCATGCAGAAATATTCGTATCCTAGTTCTGAGTTCAAGACTCAGAAGGCCCAGTGAGTTTCTACCTTCTGTCTACGGGGGCCCAAGCTAGGCCGCTGGAGGGTGGGAGGCCACAGGGAGGAAAGCCGAGCTCCCAGCTCCCAGCCAAGCACTGCTTCATACGCCCCAGAGGCCTCCCATCAGGCAGAAGGAGCACAGGAGGGAGGGCAGCCAAGGTCAAACCAAAGTGCCCCACTGGGTTCAGAACAAACCACCAACTGCAGAGCTATGATCTAGATAGACAGTGGTCGCTGATGGCCACCACTTGGGGCTGGTCACACAGAGGGCTGACAGGTAGATTCTGTTAGTTCTGTTGAGACAAACTGAGAAGAACAGCTGTAGTTCAAGTGCTTGCTATACCTGGGGCTGTGCTGAAAGGACCTTCTAAACTGTAAAGGGAAGTGCTGGTTGGCAGCCCTGCACCACACAGGTATTTGGCACACCCACCTTGCAAGAGAGGATGTTCCCAAAGGTGGAGAAGGTATCATATAAAGCCTTGTTGTCAATGGAGTCCTCCAGGTTCTTGATGAAGATGTTGCCCACACCTGATCTGCGGAGTCCTGGGTCTCTCTGTGACCACATGATGCGGATGGGTTGGCCTTTGATCAACTCAAAGTTCATTGTGTCCAGTGCCCGCTCGGCTGGACAGGAGGAAAGAAAGAAGCAGATTAAGGGAATTTCCTGACCTTGACCATCTATGACACTTAATTAGAGCTGGAAAACGGCCATTGTGTGGTTCTCACCTGAGACAGGAGCCTAAAAGCTCAGGAGGGATGGGCTGAGAAATTAATGTGCACAGTGCTACTCCCACCTCCCCAAACCCAGGTGAGCAAGGATTCCCATCTCCATTTTACAGAAGGGAAAACTGAGGCTTAGAAGGGTGAAATGTTAGTGGCAGAGCCAGGTCTATTTTGTCCTCTTAAGCACACTGAGTAGATGAGAATGTAACAGAGGGGTCCAAATGACAAGGGGTGGCAGCAGTTTAACGAAATTAAAGCTCAAAGGTGATGAACAGCAGAGCTGAGAGTCAGTCCCACCCAGGCAGTCCAGCTTTGAGGAAAGTGAACACCACCTGTCTGAGCCCGTTTCCTCACCTGTAAAGTGAGGACAATGACAATACCTCCTTTGCACACCTAGAAAAGAAGTAATGTCACCTACCCCCAACCTGTTGGACAGACTGAAAAGTCAGGCATACAATGTGACACGTTTGCACTTTGCACTGGATGTGCAATAGGAGTCTGGTAGATGGCAGTGTGTCTGAAAACAGCCACTCCTATTCACCCTCCTGCCGCTGCCACTGCCTGTCCCTCCAAGATAATAAATACACTGCCTTTGCTTTGGGGTTCTGCTAGTTTCAGAGACATGGAGGGAGCTGGGAAGTGCAGGGGAGCAAGCCTCAAGGAGTCCCTCATCCAGTCCCAGCATCGGCAGCCAGGGGCAAGACTCCTGCTCCCTGCAGCTCAGTGCCCCCGTTTATGAGCTGGGACCAAAAGGTCAGGTCCCTGGACACTGGCCATGCTTGCAGAGGGGCTGGGAAGCCAGGAACACCATATAGCAGGTGGGGCGGGACAGAGGAAGGGGGAAGCATTCAGTTCAGCCACACAAACCCCAGCTCAGGAGAACTTGCCCATCCTCCCAGGACCCCCGCAGTAAGCCACCTTCTTTCGGACTGAGGCTGGGGCAGGCTTTTTTCCGTCATGTTTCTGGAGGGTTACACCACAGCATTACAGCTATTATTCACTATTTTTCAATCCAGATCTCCTTTCTCTGTGTGGGTGTGGGGGGGTGTTCTGGGGATGGAATTCAGGGCCTCCCCCATGCTAGGCAAGATCTACCCTTGAGTCACATCCCCAGGCACACACAAACCACTTCTTTTTTTTTTTTAAAGACAGAGTCTCCAGCGTGCCCAGGCTGACCTCCACCTTGGCATCCTTCTTGCTCGGCCTTCCAAATTGGACTAGTTGGGATTATACAGTTCTCCATTCTTCCTCTCTTGGGGAGTAAGCCTTAGCCCCATGGATACTGGGGTCGTTTGCCCCAGCTCACCTCACAATGGCAGAGCTCCTATTCTTTTGTCCTCCATTCTCAAAAGAGGTGCAGACCTACTCGTCTAACGAAGTCTAATCAATCCTATCAGCCTTGGGACACGGGCTGGAAGAGAGGGCTTTTCGGGGAAAGTGGAGGCCACAGCGTAGACCTCATGTCAGGCTCCCTGGGAGGCTGGCGCCCAGGTTTCTGCACTCTCGAGCTGAGCTGTGCCGTCTTGGGCGCCTCCCTCCCCAGGTGCTTCCAATCTCATCCTCACAACCACTCCTGAAAGCAGACAGGAGCTGCATTTTGCGGAGAAGCAACTGGGCTCAGAATGGTTGAGTAACCACAACTGTCTATTTGGGGGTCAGGTCAGGTCTGCCCTACCCCAAAGGCTTTAGCTGTTTTCACGTGGTCTTAATCTCTCTTCTGTACAAACGGAGCAAGGCAGTCACTGCAATTCTCGCCTCAGCTACCGAGCCCCTTCCAAGACCCTGCATCTCTGCGCCTCAGTTTCCCTGGCTGCAAAATGGAACACTTAAGCGAGCGGCCAGTCCTGGGGGCGGTCTCTCTGGACTGGGGCTCGTCCCCTCTCGTCCGCCCTCCCGGGGGCTCACCGTCGGCCGGCTGCTGGAAGTTGATGTAGGCGTAGCCCAGCGAGCGCCTGGTGGCCACGTCGCGGCACACGCGGATGGACAGGATGGGGCCGGCGGGCGAGAACGTCTCATAGAGCATGGCCTCGTTCACGTCTGGGTGCAGGTCGCCCACGTAGAGCGAGGCCAGCGGGTAGCCCTGGCCGCCGGCGTTCATGGTGGACCCAGCCGGGTGCGGGGGAGACGAGAAGTGGGTCACCGCGAGGCCCGCGCTGCGCAGGCAGGGACCTACCCTGCGGCGGCCCAGGACTATCCCTCCTGCGCGCCTGGCCGCCCCTTCCCTTTACCGCCCCCACCCCCGGGCCAGCGAGCCAATCGCCGGGGCCCAGCCCCACCCCACCTGGGGGCCCTCAGCCATCTCAAGTCGCAGGTGCGAGACATCTCAGACCCCGCCGCCGAGGAGGGCCTCGGGCGGCCTAGGGTGCTGCGGACGCCGGTGGGCAGCTCAGGAAGGGCGGGCTACGGACGGAGTTCTAATCCAGTCACGCTGCGCCTTTCTGGACCCATTTTCCTTCTCTGTAAAATGAACGGGGTCTCCCTCTTGTCAAGGATTAGAAACTGCTTTTTGCGCTTTGCACTTGCAGAGGGGAAAATTCTGAGCCAGACACGCTGTTTCAACTTGGGTACAGATTGTTATCCTGCCTACGGAAATGTTTTTCTGAAGCAGCTCGACCCAGTCCCACCCTAATGTGCCGGAATGGTAAACCTCAGTGACTGGGGGCTAAAGGCTGCTTCAGAACTGGGGATCCCTGTCCTTCAGGCCTCCCTTGCAACTGGCTGTCCCACCGCCAAGACCTCTTGGTGAGACATCACCTGCCACCTGTGGAGGAGGTCTTCCACCTGCATCCATCCCATCAGGGGTTTACTTGCATGGGAACAATAGGGACCCAAGAGCAGAAAAGGGCCAAGGAAGTGGCCCTACAATAAGCAATGAGGCTGTTTGCAGCCCCAATGTAGGGCCATTTTGTTTAAATTCCTGTCCATTGTAGACAGATGCTTTATAGTGGTTCTTCCAGGGCCTCAGCTTCCCCTGACCTTGGATTGGGCATGGCTTCCACAGGTGTGACAGTTCCTGAACGGGGGCCGCAGCTGGTCTGCCTGTCTAGCCTCACACTACAGGTACCAGTTCTCATCTTAAAAAATACCCCTCTGTGGAGACTTCTCTCCTACAGGAGTGTGGATGGTTTTAGAAGGGGTGTAAACCCTATGAAGAAAGTGCTGCCAGTTATCATGAACAGCAGTACCAAGACTCAAGCAACCCTAAAGTTGGTTTCATCTCATTGACTAGGTTGTATGTTAGGATTTAAAAAAAAGTCAGGGTTTGGGAAGTGCTGCAAAATAACTGTGCATACCAAATCTTACAAGCCACAAAAAGGACCTTAACATCTGGTTTACTGTAGATGTTGGAGAGGTCTCAAGTAGAGAGTGTTTAATTAATGGTAATTTCTTTATCACACCTTTGATTTCGGTTCTGAAGGATGAAATAAAGCTATTTTCCTATTTTTCTTTTGTTATGGTACTGGGGATTAAACCCGAGCCTTGCACATACTAGGCAAGTGCTGTACCACTGAGCAACAAAGTTTTTTTTGAAACAGGTAGGGCTAGGTTGCCCATTTGGCCTTGAACTTGTGATCCTCCTGCAACAGCCTCCCAAGTAGCTGGGATTACAGGAGTGTACCCATCTCCCACCTGTTTTATCCATTTTTCAAGAAAACAGAAGTAAAAATAGGTGATCAGAGTACCTAGCTAGTTCTGCATCAATAGAGATAGTGGTGGCACATCAATTCACAAGCAACTAACTGATAAAATTTTTTATTTCACTTTTGAGTTTTTACACTTTTTCCTGATTATTCCGTGTAAGGTGAAACTAGAACTGTTTAAAAGACATACACAAATCTAGTACATCAATAACCGGGAATTTTTCTTTTTTGCTATACTATTTTCACAACCACAGGTGTGCTTGCTAGGCAATATAACCATCACAGAAGCAAACATTAGGCAGAATACTGGTAAGGAAAACTAAGCAGAGAGCTACCAGATATACAGACAGCTTGGTTCCACATTCACTACTGCATTTTCAAGCGCCAAGTATTAACTGCACATTTTTGTTCAGCTAGAAAGAAAAGGATTTTTTTTTTTTTAGTTTTTTTTTTTGTTTGTTTGTTTTAAATCAGTGCATGAATTTTTCTTTTCTCATTTCAGCAGATGGACAAACAAATGAACTCTATAGCTTTATGGAATGTTAAGGGTAAGGGGTGATACTGTGAGACTGACAGGCCTGGCTATTCTTGATTCTCTCCTTTGCAGTGCCCATGCAACTTCCCTGCATTATAGGGTCTTGTGTAGACATGTCTGAGAACTGAGCTGGATGAGTACACTTTGGAGATCTGGTGATAGGCACTAACAAGCATTATCAGGGTTGGTTGCAATAAAGGGAGAACTCATAGAGATTTAAAAATACTTTTTGATTCAGACTGTGGTATGACTGAAGAGCAACAATTGTGCTGAGAACTGGAGGAAGACTGGGATGTGGTGTGAGAAGCTCTTCTCAACTCTGAAGCAAGCCTTACTCACCAAAATGCTCACCACTGTCTTGCACCCTCTGCCCACACGGCATAAAAAGTAAACAAAAGATACAGATTTCCAAAGGAAGAAAATGTAAGGAAGCAGAAGGACATACATTTTTAAGAGGGAAGAGAAAAACAAAGTCAATAGTTCAAAAGAACATGGGGGAAGGAATGTTTGGATTTTAAAATTTAATGCCCCAAGTTAGGAATATCTTGAGTACTCCTCCAGTGAGAGGCAATTTGTACAGAACATTGTTCTTAAATGACTTACCCAGGAAACAGATAAGGTGGTTCATAAGATATATAGCTTGTTTTTCTTTAGCTAAGTAGTAACAAGGAAAACAGATCCGATTGTTTTGAAAAGTTGCAAATCAGTAACATATTGCTGTAGGAAAGGGGGCTTAGTCACTCTTGTTATAATGAGCACTGAACCTTTTTGCAGTGTCATAACCCAGCTATCTGCCACAAAGAATCTCAATTTCAGGATCCGAGTTTCCTCAGAGGAAGACACTGTAGACTTTTGTGGTCATGAACTTTTGAGTGGCAACAGCCCAAACTGGTCAAATGTCTACAAGCCCTGAACCACAGGCAGAATTACTGTGAATTACCATTAAACTTGGATGCCAAATGATGTGTCTCACTCCAGTCCCAGCACCACAATATAGTCTCTATAACTTTCTGTACAACTTTACAACAGAATTGTATTTCAGTGACTATTTTGATATCAGATTAAACTTTCCAAAAAGTTACACATAATTCAGGTCTATTTTTTCTACCAGTAAGAGTTCTGCTAAGTTACAAAACCCCATAATCACAGTGTTCAGTTTAAAAAAATTAAGCACACAGTAATTCTGTCAATATTAATGAAATCAAAACTTCAGAATGCCGTGGCATTTATGTGACCAATCCGAGTTTAGATACAAATACCAGCTGTTTATACCATGGACCATTTTTGCTAGGCTGAGGCTGTGAAAAATCGAAGTCAACGTACAAATTTTTGTTTGTTTGTTTGTTTTATCGCACAAAGGGATAAATGTGGAGGGTACAGAGTGACACTGAACAGATCACAAAGCATGATAGACATTAGTTCTCTCCCTCCCCAGCATCTCCTTCATCTCCCTGGTTTTCGGATGTCCACAGCTGCAAGAGAAAAAAAAAAAAAAGGTATTATCAAAGTAGGGCTACTCAAATTTATGTGGGAGTGGTTCAATCTATATCTTATTTCAATCAACTGTTTAAAATTCCTTCTGTATTATTGCATACACTGATGACTATACACATCACAATTTTAGCACAGACACTGATGACTATACACATCACAATTTTAGCAGTCATCTATAACTAACTGAATTATGTTTAATGGAGTATAAATCCTCTCTTGAATCTTGGATAACAGTGAATTATTTAGCAGGTGAATAGGAAAGGCCATAAACCATCCAAAAGTAGTACTTACAGTGAGATTGTCCCTAAGTAACTGCATGATCAGAGTGCTGTCTTTGTAAGACTCTTCATTCAGTGTATCCAATTCAGCAATCGCTTCATCAAATGCCTAAAACACAGAGCCTTCAGCAAAGAATCTACATGTTCTTAGAATTGTTAGTTGAGTTTTTTTTTTTTCCTTCTAATAAGTGACTATAATTTTTCTTCTTCTACAGTACTTTGGGGGAGCCTTGTGTTTATAAAACTTCATAATGTGATTATAAAGCACCAATCAGCAATGATAAAATTTCCTAGACAATATAAATTATGATTTTCTAATAAACTTGGCTTTATCTAATAAGTAACTAGTATTATTGTTAAGCCTAGCACATCTGTTCTAGGTAAATTCACACAAATTTTTATTTACCAAAAACTCTTCTAGAAAATCTCTTAAATTTTTTTTAAACTTAGATACAAAAAAATGTACAAGAGTGAAACTCACTTCACTAAACCTGATTTAATTAACCTGCTAAGTCCCAAATTTTCAATTCTGCAAATAGTTCAACAAAACTGACACAGGTATATTAAAATAGGCTGGAAATGATAACCTAGCACTTATATATCTTTATGAAAATACATATATCAGTGTCTACCATTCAATAAAACATTTGCTAAATGTTGTAATCATTCAGTTATTTTCTCAAAGAACAGAACTTTAAAAACACAATATTTATTTCCAGTTATCATAAGCGTCATAACTGTTTCTCCATTTAAGTCTTTACAGATGTCCCACATCTGGGACAATGAGACTCAATAGGTTAAGAGCAGCAATTTAAGGGGTTCATTTCAGGACCTTTTCCAAACTTTAAAAAAAAAAAAAAGAAAGAAAGAAAAGAAACAAACAACAACAACAAAAAAAAAACTGTGCGCATGTTTACAAATACATATAAAGAAAAGGCCAAAAAAAGACAGGAGGAAATATAGCACACAAAGAAAATGTGGTCCAGCTGGGAGTGGGGGTGCACACCTGTAATCCCAGCTACTCAGAAGGCTGAAGCAGAGGATCACAAGTTTGAGGACAACCTGGGCAACTTAGTGAGATTGTGTCTCAAAAATAAAATTAAAAGAGGGTAGGTATTGGGGATGTAGCTCAGTGGTAGAGCACTTGCCTAATATGCACAAGGACTGAAGGTTCCATTCCCAGTACAGAAAGGAAGGGAAGAAGAGAGGGAATGTGGTCTGATTTCTTTCATTT